GGCCCCGCTCAGGGCACCCTCTCGTTCCTCTTCCTGGATCCTGTAGCAGAGCAGAGCTTCCCCGATCTGTGCATCTGATTCCCCTGGAGAGCTCATTAAAACACAGCCTTCTGGGCCCCACCCCAGGTCCATTCAGATCCGGAAGGTCTGGGGTGGGGTCTGAGAGTCTGCACCAGGAACAAGCTCCCGGATGTGCTCCTGGAACCCCACTTTGGGAATCACTCCACCAAGCAAATCCTCACCCAACAGAATCAAGTGCTGACTGGCTCTGGGTGTTCTGGGGACTGGACGGGGAGTAGGACACGCAGCGTGGAGAACTAATTCATTAAGTTCTGACTGTTGGGAGCCTCGGGGTAGGCTGCAGGGTATTGACATCACCATGAAGAGATGCAGGCAAAGATGGAGGCTACCCGTGGTGGGCTGGCCGGGCCAGGGAGGCTCAGAGGAAGGCAGCCTGGCCTGCAGTTGCGCCCACCTGTAATGGGAAGGCAGCTTTGGCGTGGACCTCGTCTGGGAGTGCGCTGCCTCCTGGCCTGTCTCGCCAGCCCGCAGTGGCTTGAACCTTCGGAACCTCACAGCGAACTGAGGCAGCAGCAGGGACTTGGTGGAGGCTGAGCCTCCCGGGGTTCCCTGCAGGATGCTGTGTACCATGCTGGAAAGACAGCTGCTCTGAGTTCAGCTGCACATGCCCAGTTTCCCACTGTGTGAACTCTGGGGCTTCTTTTAAATGAGGCTGGAGTAAGGGAAGGGACAGACAGGGACCCCTGAAACTGCCAAATGTGTCCTGTGTCTGCATGACTTGCAATCAGGTCCATGCCTGCAGGAATCCTGCCGTGCAATCCTGTGTTGCCCAAGCCAAACCCACAGCGGCTCCCCTGCTGGCTCACAAAGCATGGTTCCTTTCTCTCCAGTTTTTCTTTTATTATTTTTTACAGAAATTCTGTTACAATGGTGAAAGATCTCACTCTACCATTGGTATTTCACTTCAGGAGCTTGTAAGCACATTAGAGCTAAGGTTTGTAGCATTCTGCCTCTTGGTTACAAACCGAGTCCCTCCTTTTTCTCAAAGCTGGTGGCCTTTTCCTCTGTGGGGGATGCATGGATGGGGACAGACAGAGGGCTGTGCCCTAAGACCCTAGGTAAAAGCAGGTGGGTCCTGCTCTGGCCAGACAGGAGCTACAGAGAGGGCATTCCTCCCGTGGAGGCCTTCACAAAAGCTGAGTGACACACACGCAGGTCACTACACACGTGTCCCAGCAGCAGCCAGCTGGGACAACCCAAATCCCCCTTGTACTTGGCTCCAAGAGGCATACTGCTACAGGAAAGCCCGTTACACAGAAGCTCAGAGCAGGGGCAATTAGAAGTAGCTGCTGGAAGGACAAGGAGACAGGCCGGCCCCTTGGCACAGCTGAAGGACGCAGAAGGTGGCGCGTGCAGGAGCTGCACCCCTGTTGGTGCTGCTCATGTGGAGGGAGCCATGCTGCCCCAGGCATCCCGCAGGAAGCCCCTCAGTGGCTGATGGACATCTCAGGACCCCACCTCCAGCCCTGGCACCACAGACGAGGCTGGTACAGCCCTGATGTCCATCCAGGGTCTCCGGGAGAAAGCAGAGGGATTGATGGCCATGTTCTTTCCATGGAACTAGACCTGTCTGCACAGGCCTGGGATGTGATCCAGGTGAGTCCCCTGACCCCTGGGTCACTTCTGACCCTCCAGGCAACGTGAGTCTGGGCTGCATTGATGAGCTGTGTGCTTTTCCTTCCTGACGCTCCCTGGGCAGCAGATTCAGAGAGACCGACTGCCCAGAGACCTCCCGATGCTCTGTGAGTCTCAGAGACCAGAGGTCCCTGGCGAACCATCAATCTGATCCTGACCCCCCAACGACATCCTGTCCAGCTAGGGGGAGTGTCTTCAATGTCAGGGAACTGGCCACCTCAGGGCATGCTATTTTGGAGATCTGAAAATAGAATGGTCCCATCACTGAGCAGCAGACACCTGGACAGAATCAGGCACCATGGTTGGCTTCTTGTGACAATGTGATTATGCTATAGCACACAGGGACTTAATCAAATGCTAATCTAGGTATGAAGACATTTGGTAAAGGTGGCTAACATCTACTATCAGTTAACAAAAAAATTACCTTGAACAGTGTGGGTTGGCCTCATAATCAGTTGAAGGCCCATGGAGATAAAGCTGAGGTTTCCCAGAAAAGCAATTCTGCCTCAAGACTGTGATGCAGGAATCCTGCTGAAGCTTCTAGTCCCTGTGCAGACTTCAGACTTGCCAGCCCTGCCGATGCATGAGCCAATTCCTTAAGATAAAGCTCTTACAATGTTCAAAGCTCCCATAGGTGCTGTTTCCCTGGACCCACGGATGCGCTGGGTCAGACTCCACCAGCTCCACAAGTCCACAGGACACGGGGCTCTGGAGAGTCAGTCCTGAGCATTGAGCCTGTCTCTTGTGCAGAGAGGACCGACACCTGCCCACACTGCATCCCCAGAACGTTCCTGGGTGGGGCATGCCACCACTGGGTGCCTGGCTGACATGGGCACCATCACTGGGTGTCACGGGCGCACGAGGCTCTGGGGTGGAAGCTCGCAGCCTCCCTTCCTCCTGCCTGGCTGAGTCTTTCCGACGGGGAGGCACATGGACCTCACTCCAGGTGGAGGGAGCTTTCTCCACGAACAGCGCCTGCCAGGCTGGCGCCCCAACAGGCCAGGGATAGGAGCAGGAGGGTGTGGCCATGCTCACTGGGCACCCACCTGCCCAACCACATCACCAGCCTCTTCAAGGCTGAGCTGTGCTTGAACATCTACCGTGAGAGTATGAGCCAAGCTGCAGCTCCAGGGCCAAGAGGAAGAGCTGAAAGGTGCCGGGCTCCCTGCAGGGAGAGTAGGCCCCAGAACACAACTTCCTGTCCCCAGAAGAGACCAGCACCCGTCTCGTCTCCCTCCTGAGCGAAGGTACATCCGGGAGCTTCCCTAGTTGCAGGGTCAGGGGCTGTGAGCTGCCCCAATATGTTTCTTGGCCGGGGTCAAGTTACCTGTGCCTAGGCCCTGGGGTCACCACACAGGCCAGACAGGTTGCCCAGGCCAGACCAGGACGATGAGTGGACCTCAGCCACCAGCCCTGGGACTCACCGGACTTCCCCTGCACACAGCATGCTCGTCTTACGCTGTTTGATCAACCCAGAAGTAGCACAAGAGAGCAGAGGAACCCTTGTTTCTGAGACACTGTCCTCGCCTTCCTGCTCCTTCTGCTCCTGGAGGCTGGCCCTGTGCAGACTGGCCTTCCGACACGTGGGCCCAGGCCACAGTCTAAACAGCAGGCCAAGGCACGGCCATGCTCACTGTCAGGTCCTGTCCCTCTCCGTCGCCACCCACCCTCTCCATGCACACCCACACAGGTGCACTCCCCACAGGTGGACATCAGCCTCTGAGGAGGAAAAGCGTTAGGGCCATATCTTGTTCTTGGTGTTCCTAACATGAGCACGTGGGGACGGGACCGTAGGACTCCTTCCRAAAGGGACTTGGCTCTGTCACCATCTTAGCCCCACCCCCCCTTCTTCTGTATAAACATTTCTGCTTTCTGTAGAACTTGACTGCACCGAATTCTTTTAAGACTCAGAAAGTATAATGTTAATGATCAGAAGAAACAGTCTCTAATCTGTAGAATTTAGCACAAAAACATTTGCTCAAAGTTACTAACTTCCCATGATTCTGGTGTCCTGGGCCCTCCGCCTGCCCTTTCTGCCAAGGCCCTTTAGAAATGCTGGGACTCATCCCTCCTGGGGACCTGGGAGGAGCCCACCTCTGTTCCACCTGCAGGACCTGTCACAGGACATCCATCACTTAAGTCACTCCCACCTTCAGGAAGTGCAAGCACACAGCAGCAGACTTCTGGGAGCCCAGGCCGTGCAGGCACCTCCTGCCTCCCCACGTGGAGCCTTCAGCCCTGAGCTGACATTCCCCATGGGGCACTATGACCTGGTATGGCTGACCCTGCACCATCGGTCAATGCCAAGGTCTCCAGGGCCTGGAAAGCCTGGCACTACACACACTGAACACTAAGACATACACAAAGTAACAAAGAGGACTTGCTACAGCGGTGGGCACTCAACACCCTGCTTCAGCCCAAATTCTGAGCCCCTTTAAATGGTACTTCTGGGTTATCATCCCTGTCCTCAGCCACCAGCTGGGGACAAGCATTCGTCATGGGGCTGCTCAGGGGCTGCTGGGCTGCTGGATATAAAAGTACCTTCACACAGCAAAGCGCTAGACAGTGGGAACCATTCTTAGGATGCTACGGAGAAGGGTAGATCAGGTGACTGTTAAAGGAAATCACCTTTCTTTGTTTTGAGATCTCATATTCTCTTCCCTGAACGTGTCTGGGAAAGCATATTGTAATGAGAGTTAATTGGACTTTTCAAATGTACATCCAAAGAAATGCTTTTGCGTGCTGGGGACAGGTGTGCACCAGATAACACAGTCTCAGTGACAGCTACGTGTTCATGACGAACTCAGGAAACAATTATGGGAGCCTGGCGTTAAGTGTGTGTTAAAATGAGGGAAAACCAGCCTGCATGGGGAGGGGGAAGCCGCGGGGAAGGGTGGAGAGGGGTCAGGGCTGGCCAAGTAGACTCATCAGCTCAGTCAGGTGGCTTGGACACGGCCTGGCCACTAGCTGACACTGTCCCTCCATCAAAGTGCAAGACGACACTGTTTTCCAAGTGATAAAACCTCAGAGATCAGTTTTGCCACATGTGGACATGGCCCCCTCCCCGAGAGCCCTCATGCCTGGGAAGGAGAACCGAATACGCCATGTTCAAAGGGAGCTTTTGGTCTTACAGCCTCTACCCCCAACACGAACCACTGCAGAGCACATTTTCCCCACGACACCCAGTATCACCGTCCAGGGGCCTCCCCGTCTCAGCAGTCTGAATAGAAGCGGGACAGGGGTGGGGAGAGGGGGTCTGGAGGACAGGCCAGCTCACTCCTTACCTTGAGCCGTTCACCTGGCTGGGGTTGCACTCCATCTTGATGGTGACCCTGGCCGGGGGTTGAGACAGCCAGTCCTGCTGAGGGACACGCGGGCTCATCTTGGATGTCTGGCCATAGTCACTGGAGGAGGACGCGGTCATCTCCGTCTTCGCCAGGTGTGGCGTTCCGTAGGCACACTCAAATAGCGACTGGTCCTCGCTCACGACGGACAATGCTTCCTGGAGGCCCAAAGAGACACAGATTCAGGACACTGCCGAGGACAGTCATCTAAAGCTGCTGTCTACAGAGTCATCTCAATGGGGACACCACGTTTCAGTTAGTTTTTATGGTATCCACGAYTACCTTTCAGAAGGAAAAGCACCTGGGTTTGTTCCCGCCAGACTCTGCGGGTTGGCCTAGAGGCCCGGGAGGCAGGTCCCCACCACCCCAGGCTCGGCTGCTGCAGAGCAGCGAAGACCACTTTAATCTGAACTCAAGGAAGTTGAATTTCAAAGGTCTTCGAAGACATTCAAGTGCTTGTGTCATGATTTGACAAATGCAATCTATAATTCAAACAGACAGGGTACAGAACGGGCGTGAAGAGTAAAAAAGAAATGTAAAGGCGGACACCGAAGCATCTGGCAAAACTGTCCCATTCCCAAGAGAYTTGGAGGAAGAAGTCCTTCGAAGAAGGGAGGGGAGGCGGGAGACCAAAGGACAGCTAGACAGAGGTACGGATTTTTCCACTCTACATTATTAGTTGGAGTCGAGTTCCAAGTGGTGCTTCTATGATGGCAAACATCTGGATGATAAATGAACCAAAAAAAAAAAAAAGAAAGAAAGAAAAGAAAAAGAAGCTGTGAATTATCCAGATGCTTCCAAATACCAGGATGTTAAAATATCTGGATCAGTGAAAAGCTCTTTTTTTTCCCCCTCTGTACTTTCTATTAATATCTTTGCTCTTCTGCATGATTTGATGAGAAGAAATAGAAATTTGTCATGGTTGGATCATTTTTCTATGGTTTTGAGTCAAACAAGTGGTTAGTCTATGGCTGTGTTTATAGTCTACAGCCAAATCAGCAAAGGCAAATGGGATTGGAATTTCAACTACTTGAATGATCTATCGCATGGCAACTGTGCAGAGCAATTGCGAGACAATCTAATTTTGGTTTCTATAACACACACAAGGAACCTCAGGAGAGGGCTGGTTTTCACCTCGTCCCCTGGTGTCCTCGCCCTCCTCTGGGCTCAAGGGAAGCAAACGTCAGCTTGGCCATATTTTTTAATGGAGACTTGGAGGCAGCGGGGACTGGGAGACCTTCTCTCTCCCAGGATCCAGAAAGGCCCAAACCTGGGCTTAAATCAGCCGGCCAAGATCAAGCAGGGAGCTGTGTGATCATCTGCCCCGTCTGTCCCCCAGCCCCAGAATGCCCTTGTCCTGTGTGGGGGCTGGGGAAGCGTGTTTGAATTGGCTTCCTCCTCGCTCTTTGAGCTGACTGGGATGCCAGCCAGCAGCGGTGGCCTCCCTCCGAGGCCTTCTGGGATGGGAACCTCCGGAGGCCTCAGAGCCATTCCGTTTACAAAGCTGCCGCCCTCCCTGCCTGTGCCCTGCCCCTTGCCCTCCACTGCCCAGGCCCCAAGCCTTCTGCCAGATCCCCAAGGGCCTGACCCACGGCACCACGAGTTAGCCAGTAGGAAGAACCAGAGGAATGAGCTTGAGGGTCGGCTCCCAGGGCAGTGCCTGTGCAGGGACGCCACAGCCTGACCCCATTGGAACCCCTGGAATCCCAGCCCCGCGACACCCTGAGAAAGACTGAGGTTCCAACAGAGAGACACGCTCTCCCCAAGGCGGCTGTGCCAGCCAGAGCCAGGACCAGGCAGAGGAGAGGAGAGCAGGGGAAATGCACCACACACTCACACCACGCGCTGCAGGGACCCAGGTGACCCACGGCGAGGTGGTGGAGGGGCAAAGGGCAGCCTCGACGCTCGGGGAGCGACCTGCACCCCTCTCTCCTGGTCACAGTGAGCGAACGAGGACGCCCGGGCTCAAGCTCACAGGCGCAGGGTTAAAAGTCAAATCGGCACCACAGACGAAGTGGTCTTGCTGAGCAGTCAAGGCCAAAATGAGAGTTTCTTCTGCCTTCGCACAGCAGCGCTGAGCAGAGGGTCTACCAACTGCCAACAGAAAACAAGGCCAAGGCCGCGGCCTCTCCCCGGCGGGCRGCAGACCCAGGCAAGGCGCCGAGGGAATAACACGCTATGTAATGTTGGCTTTGGCTCTCTGGTGACAAGAGGCATGAATGCATGTGTGATTTATGTCAGAAGTTGGCAAAAACAGGTCACATATACCAGTCGGGCAAAATTTTAAATTACAGAATTAAAAATAAAAGGCCTTCAACAACAACAAGACAGGCAATAACTTTRAAATATTAGCACTCCCCCAGATAAAGTAAGAGATTCTTCTAAACAAAGTCACTGGCCAAATACTGTAGCACAGTATTGGGGGGCAGGGGGGACCAAAACATTCAAAGTAAGCCTAAGCGTGTGCTTGTGGGAAGGACCTGTTCTCACATCGGCAAAGAGCCCGCTAAAGAAAGGAATCAAAGTTAATAGAGATCGATTAAGAGGGCAGAAAACCTTACCGGGGCTCGCAGTGAAAAAGGCAAAGTTCCCTTCTTTGAGAAGAACCTTAAAATTCATCTCAAAGTTGACTTTGCATAAAAATGAGGGAGGTGCTCTAATTCAGAACTTTAAAGCCACCCTTCCGTTGCTTTGGCTGACAAAAGGGGAAAGGTGCGGCCTTCAAGAGACTTCAGGATGAACATTTCAGAGAGGCTAAAAGAGAGCCCACATTCTGAACAGAAGAAAGAAATCAAAAAGCACAGCCCTGAAGTGATGATTCTGAGTTCACAGAGGCCGCCCAGCACCCAGAATTAGCTGCAGCCTGAGAAAATGGAAGGAATGAACAGATTCACACACTCCCACCACCGAAGCCATTTTCATGGGGGGAGACAAAGAGAAGACGAAGGGGTCTTTTCCAGAAACCTGTTTCAACAACAATGACCACCAGAGTTAAACGCTAATAAACCAGCCGCAGAGCCACGGGGCTCCTCGGTTCCTCCTCCTGACTTGGCTAGATGGAGGTTTATCATCCACTTGTGAAGTCTGAATGGCCAAAGCCCCCATAGACATTCCCCTCCGGCCAGCTCCAGGACTTCAAAGGGGAGCCGCTCTGGGATTACAACCGGAAGGGGGTGCAGAGCCTGGTAGTAACCAGGAACATGTGAGCTCCCAACTCCTGCAGGGACTCCCTGCTGTGGCTGACGGCCCCTGCTCCCTACCTCTGTCACCTGGCCTGTCGCCTACCTGCCCACCACCTGCCCACCTGCCTGCCCAGGGTGTCTGCAGTCCCTAGTCCACAGGAATGTTCTTCTTTCAGAACCTGCAGACAGCCACGGGGCTTAGGATCTGCAAAAACAACCCAAACCTGACAGAAATGAGGCACAATAACCTAATATGCCGACTCCACGTTCGTATAAAAAGACCTGAACTTTAGCCTGGTGTGCACCAGGGCGTGGAGGTGTCTTTCTGCAGCTCCAGGGAAGTTGGGGGTAGTGGGATGTAGCAAGTGGCTGCCTCCCAAGCCCATTTTTTATGGACTTAGGAGAAGCACATAAATTCTAAGCGAATCGACCCCAAACAAAAGGCACCGCTGTGTTAGAATCCCAGCGTCGACTGCTTCATTTGAGCACTAAGACTTCAGGACCATGTGAGCGCCATTCAGCTGGATTGTATTCCATAGTGTAAGACTGAAGTGAGTGTCTACTTTCAAGTAAGTGAACTGAAGGAGAGCAAAGCATCCAGAACACTTAGATTAAAAAGAGAAACTAAAGCAGAAAAACCGAGTGGAACACAGTCCGTGTGCACACTGACATTCCCAGCAGCAGGAGTTCAAAGATCCCCGTGCAATGGATCAGTGTTTTGTTAGGTTCTTAAGTTTCAAGTAAAATGTTAGAAAATCAGCATTTGGGCCCAAATTTGTTTCTAATTTGTGATCCCCAAGGCCCATAAAAATACTACATTGTTAATACAGAGAATCCATCATGCTTAAATTTGCCTGAAAACCTGGGAGTGGCCAAGTGTTGAAACTGAGAAAATCTTAACAAATGACCAGCTGTCCCCACCGCTGGGCAAGGAAGGGCCATTGAGGGAGGGGGTCTGTATGCACTTTTCAAAAGTGAGCAAGACGGTCAGGGGGAGACTTGGAGAACTGGATTCCCAAGTCAGTCTTCCGTTTCCTTAAGTCTCATGAGCCTTAATTATTTGATAATAAGTAGAAAAATGATGTGGAACAAGCATTTTAAGATCATGGTTGTGCTTTAAAATGCTGATCTTACAGAGGTGCTTGCTCTCCCAACACAGTGTGGAGACGTCGGTATTTCTTCTCTGATGGCAAGCAAAGTAGTGGCCTATGTTCTCACCTGGGTCATCTTTTAACCCTTATAATAGTTTAAAAGGCCGTCGTCCCCCTGCCCACAGATGAGAGGGCAGGATTGGGAAGCGAAGCAGCATCACAGTGGGGGGAGGTGGAACAGCCTTGTCGGTGGAATGCTCCTCCCCGGGCTGACCACCAGCCACTGTCTGGGGTAATCAGAAGCAGGAAGGTGGACCAGGGGACACTCCACAGCTGGCTTCCGATGCCCTGCCTGGTTGTGGCTGTGAACACAGGAGATGGAGCCAGCTAGAAAGAGAGTGGCCAGTGGAGAAGAGGTGGAAGGAGAAAAGGGCACAAGGCGCAGAATCCTAGGATCTGGGCTGGATTCAAGGGTCAGGGCCCTAAGTGGAGAGTGGAGGGTCTCCCGGAGCCCAGGAAGGAGCCTGCTAAGCCAGGCCTTCCTGAGCCTCAGGCCCCGAGTGCATGTAATCCCTGGGGAATGGTTCAGACCAACACACCTGTCTTGTGGTTGATCAAATTAATTATTCAGGCCCAAGGAGATGGCCACGTGTGGGATTCACAGCAGGTGGATGGCTGCCCTCTCTTAATGAATGATACACAGGAAAACAGGCAGGTAGGGAGACCATCTGTGAACACGCCAGAGCCCGTGCCACACGGGGGACCTGGGACGGATGTCTGTGGACCCAACAGGACTGGAAAACTACTCATTAGCTGTCTCAGCCCACCATCTGAGGTTTCTCTTCAAGGCAAAGCACAGCAGATGCTTCTGGAAAGTCTGGTTCC